AGTTTGATCGATTTCGAGTTTTAACCCGATTTTATTGACCGAGTGAGTTTGACCGATTAATTTTATCAATAAAATCAGATTAATTTTATAATTTTGACCGAGTGAGTTTGATCGATTTCGAGTTTTAACCCGATTTAAAACCGATTTAATTTTATAATTTTATAAATTTTAGGTTGTTAAAATTACTAATTAAATCTTAAAATTTTATAAATTAATATGTATATAACATGTCAGGTTAAAACTTAAAATCAGTTAAAATTAGTCAAATTTGATTAAAATTAATAAAATCAAACTAATTTTATAAGTTTATTTTACAAGTTTAACCAAGTTTGATTGATTTCGAGTTTTAACATGATTTTATTGAATCACTAATACTGAAAATCTAAATCATTTAAAATAACCTAACATCAACAAATACGTTATCAAAAATTGGAATCAAAATTTCAAAGAGAATATCAAGCTCTATGAAACAATCACTAGCTAAAATGTTTCTTGCTACCGCTGAGGTTTGTGAAAATCTTTCTGTCAGTGTACTGTCAATAATGCATCATAATCATAGAGCATCTGTGTAACAGATCTGATGATTAATTGTGTTGAGCAATAAAATAATTTTTTTCTTGCATGGGAGCGTTTTCTGTGTCCTAGTTTAGCATGCTGTTTACCCTGTTTTTCTTATCAAGTACATCTTTGCACACTATGATACATTTGCTTTATGCTTTTTTAGTCTTTCATTCATGCTGGGGTGGATAGATGGGGTGTTGCTGCTGCTGATACAAGGAAAATGGTGGAGGCTAGAGTTAGGAAGGTTCCTGCCTGCAGTTTGATTGATTGCATATGAAACAGGAGTTTATTCACTTGAATTTTGCTCTTGAGAAATAACAATGACAGCATATTGAAATCACAAGGCAAAGCTCAAAGCTTAACCTTCTGTTTCTCCTTCTATGAGTGGGTTCTGGACTTCATGTTGATACTTCTGTCACAAAATGCAGTTCGTGGTGCCGAATTTCACCATAGCATGTATTTTAGTGTGTACCATAATAGGTGTTTGTATCTTGCACATAGCCTTCTCGTTTCATTGTGTCGGTCATGGCTGAGTATTATTTTTGTAATGCACATGGTGTTAAAAACTAGTGACAGCAGCTGAAGAAATCTCGTTTCCATTTGTGTTGCTAGTGATGATGCTCCGCAGTCTGTCTTCTCCTCTGCCAAGCTTATTCAGAAGCTTTCATTAAATCTGTAAACTTTGTATTCAAAGATACAAAGAGGCTTTCTTTGTAGCTTCATGCTCAATATCTCGGCGGCTTTCTCAAATTATCGATGGATACCACTTAAATTTGCCTGAATTAGACGATCCAATAACCCCTTGATCCTCTTGAATAGAGAGTTCAACATAATTTAATTTCTTAGGTAGAATAATATTTTATTTCAAATTCCTAGGTTCAAAACTCACTAGGGAATATACAAAAACCATTTATGAATCTTATTTAATAACTCTGGGATTTTTCATTATTTTATTTGAATTCATGTTTTTCTTCTTCAGCTAATTGACAAATGTGGATGGTCCAAGCCAACTTTTTTTTAAATATTTACTCATTACATCAAATTGTTTTAGCTAAATATTTTATCTCTATCTTCCTTTTATATATAAAAACCCCTAACAATTTCTATATGGGTGTAAACTATATCATTGACCTACACATATTTATGCCCAGATTGGCAAAAATATATAATTTGATGATGTTCACCTACCGATCTTTATGATTTATTCACTTGCAGTTCTCCATTTTTAATTTCTTAGTAGTATAGTATTTCCAAATCAAACTAAAATTTTCCATCAAAAGTAAAATATAATGTCGTTGTTTCTAAAAAAATAATAATTCCACATTAAGATTATTTTGGATATAAGATTTTGATAGACTATTGATATATATCAGCAATTCACTGCGGGATCTTTCATCTCCCTTCCTTATAGTAGATACAGCTTGGATTTGATGGAAGAATTTGATTGATGGATGCCAGGGCCCCCCAGGCTTCAAGGATGCTGGTGGCTCTTGGATTTAACTGATTGCTTTATTTGTATTAGTCCCGTTCTCTCTTTGGCCGCTGTGTGCGGAAAGAAATGGTGAAGACTGGAATTATGGTTTATTTTTTTTTCTTTAAATCGAACAAGTTACTTAATTGAAGAAAATCAGGAACCTACAGGTTTTTGGGAGGTGTGCTGGGTCTAGGATTTCTCTTCACTGCTTTATTTGTTATCTAGCAAAACCTTACAAAAACTTTTCATCCTCCCATTCATGCCACCTCCAAAACTTTGTCATGCAAGAGATCAATCAGATCAAATAAAAGTAATGATAATAAAATGGGAGGAATTTGATCAACACCAAGGGTTTTACAACAAAGCTGGCGGAACAAGTTCCCATTCAAAGAAAGAAATTCTAGTAAGTGATACGTTGTTTCAGAAACCATAGAACAAACTGTAGGCTGGAGAGTTTTGCGTTTGCATCAGATTCCATCCGTGTTCCCCTTCTCTTAGTTTACGTACTTGGCTGCTGCACATGCATCAGATTCTTGCTTGAACTACAATGTCCCGAAAGAATGTATAAATTGAATGGTTTAAGTTGGCCATTGTTCATGATACCTTCCATAAGCAATTTTAATGACTACAAGGGGGAAAAGAATTCCCATCCAAAGTAAAAAAAGAATGATTAGCTTGCTCTTGTAAATATAGGAATATTTCAACTGATAACTCGAAAGGAAAGAATAAAGGGCATTTCTTGGGGAAGACGAGCATCCCAAAAACCATCATGAAAGCAAAGTTCTTTTGCTTCAGTACATGAAATTAAGATTCCATGGCCTTTTCCAATGCACTATATATACATCAAGTAATAGATCATATGAAGCACCATCAAATCATAATCTCCCTTTTTTTTATTTCTCCTCTTTTCTCAACCAATCAATTACTCCCTATATTGCACATTTCCAAATTTATTATCCTTTTATTTCATTTTAACCTCTCTCAACCATTCCTTAGTTCTGAAGAATATGGCTGATGCTCTTGTTTCCGTAGTCTTGGAGCAGCTGAGCTCAATCATTATTCAGGAAGTGAGGCTCGTCGTTGGTGTCAAGAACGAGGTTAAAAAGCTTACCAGCAATTTCCAGGCCATCCAAGCTGTGCTTGCCAATGCAGAGGAAAGACAGTTGAAGGATCAGTTGGTCAAACATTGGTTAGATCAGCTCAAAGACGTATCTTACGACTTGGATGATGTTCTGGATGAGTGGGGCACTGCAATTGCAAAATCGCAAAGCAAGGTAAATGAGCATCCCCGCAAGAATACAAGGAAGGTATGCTCTTTCATGATCTTCAGTTGCTTTCGTTTTAGAGAAGTTCGTTTGCGTCATGATATTGCTCTTAAGATTAAAGAACTGAATGAAAGAATAGATGGCATTGTGGTTGAGAAAAATAAGTTCGACTTCAAGTCATCTAAAGTGGAAATTAAACAGCTTGAACATCGAAAAACCACTTCTGTTATAGACGTAGAAGAAGTTAAAGGTAGAGAAATGGATAAAGTCAGGGTTATGAAAATGTTGTTGAGTGAGAGGAGTCAAGGACCAGCCCTCCGTACAATCTCTCTAGTAGGGATGGGAGGGATAGGAAAGACAACCCTTGCTAAGCTAGTTTATATTGATCATGATGTGACGACCCACTTTGATAAGACAATATGGGTTTGTGTATCAGATCCTTTTAATGAGATAACGATTGCCAAGGCAATCCTTGAAGATCTCATGGGGTCTGCACCAAATTTAAACGAATTGCAGACTTTATTGAAACATGTCCAAGAATCAATTAGGGGAAAGAAATTCTTACTTGTCCTAGATGATGTGTGGAATGAAGATTCCACAAAGTGGGAGCAACTGAAAGACTCCCTCAAGTGTGGTTTGCCTGGAAGTGGGATTTTGGTGACCACACGAAAGAAGAATGTCGCGAGTAGCATGGGCTCCTCACCCATTGACATTTTAGAACTAGGAATTCTCTCTACGGAGGAATGTTGGTCACTGTTCAGTCAGTTCGCATGTTTTGAAAAGACCAGTAGAGAGTATGATAATTTAGAAGATATTGGTAGACAAATTGCAGCAAAGTGTAAAGGCTTGCCTCTTGCTGCAAAGACTCTAGGAAGTCTTTTGCGCTTCAAAAGAAGCAGAGCAGAGTGGGAAAGTGTCTTGAACAGCCATGTCTGGGAGATTGAAGAAGCTGAAAGCAAAATTTTGGCTCCTTTATGGTTGAGCTACGATGACCTACCCTCTGATATGAGACGGTGTTTCTCATATTGTGCAGTCTTTCCAAAAGACTTCAGATTTGAGAGGGATACTTTGATCAAACTGTGGATGGCACAAGGTTT